TCACCGACTCACGGACACCCTGGCTTTCGCCGTTCCTCGTACGCTTCCCGTGTGGTCCAAGTGGCCAGTGGACCTCACATCCTGAGGAAGGTATACGGGTGAAATAGGGACGGGATCGACTGAGTAGACCTCAGTAGCGGAGGAGCTTTCACTGCCCAGGAGTACACGCTGGGACCCTGAGAGCCCAGCGCGTGCTGGCCTATAAACTAGTCTGGAGCCTAGTGTGCTGGTAGCTCATATCCAAAATTCTAGCACTCTGGAGGATGAGGCAGGAGGGCTGTTTCTAGTTTGAGAACAACCTGAGCTGCATGTAGTAAGTTCAGACCAGCCTGTGCTACTGAATAAGACCGGTTCAAGTAAAAAAAAAAAAAAAAAAAAGTCAAACTGGCCTGTGAGCCATCTATGTAGCATAGCTTGTTGCTAGGTTCTAGAAGCCCACCTTCACCCTGTGCAACCCTTAGCTTGCTCATGGCCTCCTGACATCCCATGGTTGTACACGTGTGGCCACGGGTGTCTCTGGATCAGTGCTGGAGGCAGACACATGCACTGTTTGCAGACAGAAGTCTGTCCTCACTTTTTAATTGATTGAGGCAGAGTCTATAGCCCAGGCTGGCTTGGAACTCCCTATGTACCTGAAGATAACCCTGAACTTCTGATCCTCCTTTTGAGTACTTGGATTACAGATATGGATCACCATGCCCGGTCTTAATATGTGGTGTTGGGGTTGGAACCAAGGGCCTCCTTCATGCTAGACAGGTGCTCTGCCACTGAGCTAAGACCTCTGCCTTAGCACCAGTTCTGTTGAACAGGTGAGGGGAAGCTGGAGTATGGGTAGGGGAGCGTCCCCTTGCAGCTTGCTCTGCTCCAGGGGGTCTTCACAGGTGGGCAGAACATGGCAAAGGAAGATGTTACCAGGCAAGTGGTGACAAGTCTCTGAGGAACTGATGAGAAATGATGCAATCTGGCAGTGAGGGCAGACGTTGCACCACCACACTCAACTTACTTCTTCTGAGACAGGCTTTTAGGTAGCCCTGGCTGGCCTCAAACTCACTAAACCTGAAGATGATCTTGAGCTCTTGTCCTGCCTGCCTCAACCTCCTGTGTTGGAGTTTCAAGTGTGCACCCCCAGGCCTGATCCTGTATGCTTTAGTGTGACTTTAGGTCAGTCTACCCTACCCTTCCTGTTCCTCAGTTTCTCAACTCTTGGATGGTAACAAGGCAAGGACTTTGCTTCATGCATGACAGCACCTTTAACAGTGCTCTGAACACGGCAGGTACTCAATAAATGCTGCACGACTAGGCTGTTGTGCTAATGAAATGAATTTGTCTATAAGCTTCTTAGAACACGTTCTAGGTGTAATGTAATAAAGGCTTAATAATGGCTAGCAATTATCACAGGCCCCATCAAGACCTGAAACCCAGCAAGGTGGCGAGTTGGGTGTAAGTGCTTAGGGCTGGCCAGCGCAGAGTAGGAAAGTGGTCAGGACCCACCTGTTGGCAGCTCTTCTCAGTTGAGGTGGGTGACACCAAGAGCTTGACCACTTCGTTTTTGTATACATCCAGTAGCGGACTGAAGCCCGTAGACGCAGCAGCAATTCTCTTCCGAGCCCCACCTGCCAGGTGACAGTCCCTGCCACCCTCGAAGCCTGTATTGGGAGGAGGGAAGCTGAGTGCTGAGCTTTCCTGCACCTGTCAGCAGTTGGTAGGGTCTGGGACCGTTTAGGGGAAGAGCCTGATCTTTGAGCGGAGTCAAGCCTGGGAGGGGAGGAGCCTAGGTACTGGGGCGGAGCCAAGCCTAAGGGAAGGGCCTGGAAGGCTTAGGAGTGTAAGATTGGGATAGAACTCCAGAGCTCTAGGGAGGAGCCAAGCCCAGGGGAGGAACGTGTTGCTTTGGAGAAACAACCAGAGCCCAGTGAGAATACCCAAATGCTTCAGGGAGGACATGCGGGCCTTGGGAGCACGTCTTCAACTGTGCCCCCTGGGCCTCCACACCATCACCTCTGAGCATTGGTTCCTGGGGCACAGTGTTGCCAGCTCATCAGAAGACTTGTGCATTCACAGGATTTTAGGATCGGCGCTACGTGGGGTAATAGGTTAGGGAGCCACACAGTGGGCTCCTTTGGACCGCTGCACACCTGCTGGGAAGAGGGTGGGGAGGAGAGCAGGAGGGGGCTCTGCACTCAAAGGCCTCATCCCTCCCTGGCTCTGCATCAATAAGCACCTCTCTACAAAGGGTGTTCCACTCTATGGGGATGGAGCTGAGCCCTGCTGCAGCCCACCCTAGTCACCGTCTGCGGTCACGGTCACGCTGGAGCTGACTGCTTCACTCACCAGTTGCCCACTCATCTCAATCGAGGTGCTGTCCAACAGCTCCAGAGGTGGAGTCAAGAGGGCCAGGAGTTGAAGGCTCGCCTCATCTACATAATGAGTTTGGGGTTGGTTAGCTTGTGTCTCAGAACCCCTGAAGTTCAGGAAGGAGATTATCTAGGTTCGAATTCCAGCTCTATGCAGGGCGTGGTGGCGCACACCTTTAATCCAAGTACTCGGGAGGTCTGGAAAAAGACCAAAAAGAAAAAAAAAAATGCCAGTTCTACCATCTTTTTAGGTGTTATTCTGTATGCTCTGGTTTCCTATTATAAACTGGGAACAGAATAATACCAGTGTCATAAGTTGTTGACAGACTTAAAATGATTTCAGAACCAGAGTCATGGCTCACAGGAAGGGTGCTTGCCTAGCATGTCTGAGGCCCTGGATTTTATTCCCAGAATCACTAGAGAAAAAAAAAAAAAAAAACCAACAACCAAAAAGCAAGAGTCAGATGTGGTAGTGTGCGCTTGTAATCCTAGATCTCAGGAGGTAGAGGCAGGAGGATCAGGAGCTCAGGGTTATCCTCTGCTACAGATGGAGTTAGAGGTTACCATGGACTACATAAGACCCTCTCTCAAAAACCAAAAACTTGGGGCTGGAGAGATGACTTAGGGGTTAAGAGCACTGGCTGCTCTTCCAGAGGACCCTGGTTAGGTTCCCAGCACCCACGTGGCAGCTAACAACTGTCTGTAACTCCAGTTCCAGGGGATCCAATGCCCTCTTCTGGCCTCCATGGACCACTTATGTATATGCAGGCAGAACACTCATAAAATAAAAATAATTAAAACAAATGAAAACAACACCCCCCCAACCCAAGGGCTCAACCCAAGGGCTCAGTTAAGTACTTGTGTGAGGGCTTGAGTTCAATCCCCAATACCCACATAAGAAATCCAATGTGGTGTGCACATCTGCAATCTCAGTACCAAGGAAGTAGAGACAGGCAGATCTTTGGGGCTAACTGGCCAGCCTAAAGAAAGGAAGGAAGGAAGGAAGCAGGTGTTGACAATGTTTCTGATTTTTCCTGTACCTCTGGCATAAGAAACAGTGCCTGGAACCTGGGCACCTGGAAAATCCTCAACCAATATTTGTTGATTAAGAATGAAGGAAAGTGGGAAGCGAAGAGTGAGGTAGGGATGAGCACGCTAGGGTAAGGTCCCTCTCCCTCTTTGGACTCTCGCCCCAGGCATCAGAAGCCGCTCACTCAAAAAAAGTGGTGAAGCAAGGCTGGGGAGGAGCACCTGGCACCAGTGTCAAGTTCTTTTCCAGCCATTCTCGCTGTGCTCCACTTCCCAGCCTCTGAAATCCTCTGGCAGAATACAGTCTGGTTGAATATAAGGCATTGGCCCGGCCAGCGACCTCCCAATTTGCCCCGCCCATCAGCTCCTTCCCAGTACTCTTCATTCTGGCTGCTTCTACTGATCCTATTAGCCAAGATCCTGTATTTCTGGCTCCACCAGAGCATCACTCAACCCGCTCATCCATTCAGCTTTTTCTCAAACGCACTTGCTCCTTCATCCCCCTCCGTTCCACTTCCTAAATTCTGCCTACCGTTTTATGTCACTGACTTCTACTGCCATCAGGTTTCCAACTTCCTGCCTTGCCCCGCCCACTTCCTTAGTTTTGCTCTTCCACAGCCCAACTTAGCCTCTTAGGCAAACTCCGACTCCCACTAGTGTCCAATCGGCTTTGTCCCAGCCAGCGCCTAGCTTCTCCCCTGGGCCACGCCCTACGGGCCTGCTTTCCCAGGTTGAGCTCTTCAGCCCCGCCCCCTGACTCGATCTGCTCTGTCTCCGCCCACTCTGCCTCGCAAAGTAAGTCCCTCGGCCCCGCCAACCCAGCAGTGGGTCCCGCCCTCGGAACGCTCCGTTCCTTGCCTGCTCATAGGTCCCGCCCATCATAAGGCCCCGCCCCCAGAGCGGTGAGCTCCCCAGCGGCTCAAGACCCCGCCCACTAGTAGGCTCCGCCCATAGATCCTGCCGTCAATGCATTAGGCTCCTCCCCGCTCCCCCGCACCGGACCATGGACCCCGCCCACCGTAGGGTCCCGCCCTCAAAGATTTGGGCCCCGCCCCCAGGCCCCAGGCTCCCCAGCTTGGGCTAGACTGGGAGTTCCAGGCGGACCAAGGCTTCTTGCCTTTAATGTCAGCATTCTGGAGGCTGAGGCAGGAGGATTGTTGTGAGTTCAAGGCCAGCTTGGCTCACATAGTGAGATCTTGTCAAAAAACAAAAAGCCTGGTGTGGTGTTGCGCGCCGTAGTCCCAGCACTTGGGAGGCAAAGGCAGGCGGATCTCTGTTGAGATTGAGGCCAGCCTGGTCTATACATAGCCAATTCCTGGCCAGCCAGGTGAGACCTAAATAGTGAGACCCTGTCTAAAATAAATCCAAAAAAAACCAACAAACACAAAGTTCTCTGAGGGAGAAACCATTTCTGCCTATCCCCCAACCTGTGCCAGTCCCTGGGCCTTGGAATTCACAGTGTACATCCAGCAAAGTCCATTTCCTTGCCTTCTTTGAACATTTTGTCAGCCCAGCTTTTGTGCTCCTTCCAAGCCAGGAGATGTCCTTGCTCCTTGGAGCTGCATCCAGACCACTGTCCCTCCACCCTCCCCTAAGCCCCAGCTGCAGCCATCAGCCTGGGAGCAACAGATCCATTGCTCACATTGTGCATCATCTGCTGACCCATGTCCCCATCACCTTTGTTCTATTTCACTCCCTCTAGTGCTTTTTGAGACAGGGTCTCATGTAGTGCAGACTGGCCTCAAACTTGCTATTCCCAGCTGGCCTGGAACTTGATATATAGACCAATCTAGCTTCGATCTCCCAGAGTTCCACCTGCCTCTGCCTCCTGAGTGCTGAGATTAAAGGTGTGTATCACCATGCCTGGTCCTGGTTTTTACTTTTTAAAAACAAGTTTTTATGCCAGGTATGGTGGTGCGAGCCTTTAACCCCAGCCCTCAAGAGGCAGAGGCAAGTGGATCTCTGTGAGATCGAGGCCAGCCTGGTCCACATAGTGACTTCCAGACGGATTGGGACTAGGGAGACCCTGTCAAAAAATTTTTTTAAATGTGTAAGACTGTTTTGCCTGTAAGCAAGCAAGTGTACCCTGTGTATGCAATGCACACAGAGGCGAGAACAGGGGGTTGAGTCCCCTGGAACTGGAGTTACAGACAGCTATTAGTTGCCATCTGAGCACTTCATACTGAATCTGGGTCCTCTACAAGAACAGCAGTGCTCTTAATTGCTGAGCCATATCTCCAGCTCACCCTTTTTATTTGCTTCCAACTCATTCTGTAACTGAAGATGACCTTGAACTTCTGATCCTGCCATCTCCACCTCTGCTGTGTTGGGATCACAGGCTTGTGCTACCATACCCAACCTATGCTGTGTTGGGGAGTGAACCCCTGCAGGGCATGCTAGGCAAGCACTTTAACAACTGAGCTACCTCTTCAGGCTCCTCTAAGACTCTGTATCACCATCTAGCATTCCACAGGAATAACTCTAATTCATCATGTACATTCTTTATTATCTCTCCTCAATCTGACTAAAATCAATGGGAGAGCAGAAATTGTTTCTTTTGCACACTGCATACTTTGATGGCTTCCATAAAGAAATCAATAAAGATACCCTAATGAATGTGAGGATGGGTATGACTCGGTGGTAGAGCACCTGCCTAGAACTGCCCCCCTGCCCCAGTGAGGGGCTGGGTACATGGCTCAGAGGTACAACACCTGTCTTTAGTTCCAGAACTCCGGAGGCAGAGACAGGCAGATCTCTGTGAATTCAAGGCCAGCCTGGTTTACATAGTCAGTTCCAGGCCAGCTGGGGCTACAGGGAGCCCTAGTCTCAATAAGGAAAAAAACAAAAACAAAAAAACACCCAAGGCCACACATGCTGAAGAACACTTGTAAACACTTTTAAACTTGTAATCCTAACACTTGGGAGATGAAGGCAGAAAGATCAGAAGTTCAAGGTCATCCATCCTCAGTTACAGATTGAATTCAAGGCCAGCCTGGGCTGTATGAAACCCTGTCTCAAAAAATAAAATAAGGAGGGCATGGTGGTACAGGCCTTTAATCCCAGCACTCCGGAGGCAGTGGCAAGCAGATCTCTGTGCATTTGAGACCAGCCTAGTGTACATGGTGAGTACTAGCTGGGGCTACAGGGAGACCCTGTCCAAAAAAAATGAGGAGCCATCTGTTGAGCTGGGTCCCTGAGAGTACATGTCTTGGTGGTAAAGCCCTTGCCTGGTTTGCATGATGCCCTGGGTTGGATTCTGGGGAAAGAAAGGAAGAGGGAGAGAGAGAGAAGGAAGGAGGGGGATGGAGGGAGAGGGAGAGGGAGGGGGAAAAGAAAAAAGACAAGGCCAAGCCGAGCAAATCTCAAGACTCGTGCTCTGTACTGTAAGAACTACAAGCCTCTTTGGGATGTGCACAATACCTCATTTAGTCTGAAGGCTAAATGTTAATCTCTGGGTCAGTTTGGGGCTGGAGAAGCCAGATACTGCCTTCTAACCTAGCCAGTGGGTAGCAAGTTCCTGTGATTGTGGGGAAGTTATTACTGGTTGGCATGGTAACCGGGGATGCTACCAACATTCCAATTCCAAGGACCCATGAGTGTACATTCCAAAAATGGCTATGGTGGCATTTTCTATCTGACACACTGTTCCATAATGCCACTTTGTCATACAGTCTCTCTCCCTCTGGCACTGGCAGATGTCTCACAGTTCAGGGCACTGTGTGGAGAAGTGACATTGCTAAGGGTTTTCACAGGTGAGCCTAAAAGATGTTTCTGCTTGACTCTCCCTTGTGTCATGTTTCTCAGGAACCCTGAGCCCATTGAAGTGTTGCTAAGTGGTTAATAACTGGTTCTCTGGAGAGTAGTCAGAGCTTGGGTTTATAACATTTTCCACACTGGAGTATAAATCATACCCAAGGCTGATTCCAAGCTGTGCTTGTGAAGTCTCTGAACTGAGGGATTGGAAAGAGATGTACGCAGTGAATCAACCTGAGCCAGTCCGAGCTGGCTCCCTCACACCCCTGCCTAAATCAGTCAGCTGTTGAAGGCTTGCTGCCCTGGGGTCACTCTGGTGGGTAGACAACAAGGAGGCGTGCCCAGATGGACCAGCTGTTTCAGCCTCAGCTTCGCTGGTCTTCCCAAACTCGGGCTACAGGTAACTGCGAGAAGCCCTCAGGTGACCCAGCCTCCTTCCCCTGAGTGTGGACTAGTTGGCTGAGCCCAGGCAGTTCCCCAGAGCCACAGAAGATAAGAAAATCCTGTCTACTTATCTGTGTACCTCCCTCCCTCCCTGTCTGTATTTATTCTTTTGAGACAAGGCAGCCACATTCTCCAATTCTAAATTCGAGTTTTCTTTTTTCTTTTAAAATATAATTTAGTTTAAAAATATGTTTAGGGGCTGGAGAGATGGCTCAGTGGTTAAAAGCACTGACTGCTCTTGCAGAGGACCTGGGTTTGAGTCCTAGCACCCACATGGTGGCTACGAACAGTCCTTAACTCCAGTTCCAGGGGAATCTGAAGCCCTCTTCTGACCTCCGCAGCATGGCATTTTTTAAAAATTTAAAAATGTTTAAAGTTTTTTGATATTTTGTTTATAATTTTTATTTTATGTGTAAGAGTGTATTGCTTGCATGTAGGTAGGTGCACCTGTGTCATGCAATGCCCTCGGAGGTCAGAAGAGGGCATCGGATAGACTGGAACTGGAATTATGGACTGTTGTTAGCTGCCATATGGGTGCTGGGAATCGAACCTGGGTCCTCTGGAAGAACAGCCAGTGTTCTTAACACTGTTTTATTTTATGTGTATGAGTGTATTGCCTGCATGTATGTGAGTGCATCCATGTCATGCAATGCCACGGAGGTCAGAAGGGGGCTTCAGATTCCCCTGGAACTGTAGTTGACAGTTTGTTGCTGCCATGTGGGTGCTGGGAATCGAATCCGGGTCCTCTGAAAGAGCAGTCAGTGTTCTTAACCACTGAGCCATCTCTCTAGCCCCATGTTTAAAGTTTTTAAAAAGACTTTTTATGTCTGTGTGCCTCTATGTGTGTGTGTGCCATACCCATGGAGGCCAAAAGGGGGTGTCAAATCCCTTGGAGCTGGAGTTACAGGTGGTTGTGAGCCACCTGACATGAGTGCTGGGGCCTGAACTCGGGTCCTCTGCAACAGCAGCAAGTGCTCTTAACTGCTGAGCCATCTGTCCACCCCCAAGTTTTCTTTCTTTTTTTAAAATGTTTAGGGGCTGGAGAGATGGCTCAGCGGTTAAGAACACTGACTGTTCTTGCAGAAGACCCGGGTTTGAATCCCAGCACCCATAAGGCATCTAACAGCTGTCTTTAACTCCAGTTCCAGGGGATCCAACAGCCTCTTTTTCCTCCATGGGCACTGCACAACACGGGTGCACTTACCTACATGCAGGCAATACACGCATACACATAAAATAAAAATAAAAGTTTTTCATTTACTTGTGTGTGTGTGTGTGTGTGTGTGTGTGTGTGTGTGTGTTCCACAAGATGTGTGTAGAGGTAAAAGACAACTCTCAGGACTTGATTCTCTTCTTCCAGAATGTGGATCTTGGGGATGGAACCAGGTCATCAGGCTTGGCGGCAAGTACGTTTACCTGCTGAGCCATTTCCCCAGCCCTCAAGTTTTCTTTTCTGGTGTTCCTTGGTGGTTTTTATCTTGTTGGTGTTGTGTTTTATGTTTTTAATTAAATTTATTTTTATTTTATTTTTATGAG